TACCCACACGGAGATGCCTGGTACTCATTTCTGTTCGATTGAGTCGACCTCATGTAACCGCACCATGCAGGAACCTCAACAATGTTGTTGATTTACATTCTTAATTACAATGTACTACATGTAAACGAACTGTACTACTGTTAACAATAGATGATACAGAATTGACCCCAGCACCAGCAGGCGCCAAGGACAACATCTGGTCTTTCTGAGGGACAAGCAAGCTGCAGGTCACTTGAAAACCCAGAACGGAGCAGGAAGTATCCCGCTGTGTTTGCTGGGGATTTCAATGCTTAACTTCGACGGTGCGAGTCTTTGACAATTTGAGACTTGACAGATACGAGTCGCAATAATTTTCGAAGGGGCGTACCGAGCGATTGTTAGCGTACCTCCATTTATTTGAGAGCTGTCAGAGGGACCGTGTTGTACTTAGGCCCAAATTAACATGGATTTGGTTAGGGATTGGCTGAATGCAAATGAGAGAAACACCCAAATTTTAGGTTCAGCCAATCAGCAAAATTTCAGAGGAGAGGAATCCAGGCGTTCCCGGAACCGTCGGGACTTCTGCCTCTCCAGAGCAGTCAGTCATTACAAGTCATTACAAGGGAATAAGAGCGGTGAGTCACCAACAGTGAGTAACAGGAGTAAGTAGCAAAAAGGGAGTAACAGGAGTAACCTCCCGGACGTTAAATCGGTGTTGGCCCGAATCCGGTGTACAAATTCAAAGTGCTACAGCCTGGTAATGGGTAATTGTAGTGAACATCTACAATAAAAGCAACAGTGTTGGTGAAGTGCGAGTTTTAAGTGTTCTCTCTCTCCTTGTGTGAGCAAGGCCCATTAGTCGCCCTGAGACAGAATCTCGTCCTACCGTCTGAGCAGTCGGAACCCCAAACGCCCGCCTATCCAAATCCCCACCTTTGTTTTCCCCGTTCCAAACTCGTGGATTTCACCCAAGTCCACTGGCCCCCATACAAATTCAAATTCAGAGCAATCCCACACCATACCCTGAACCAGACAGCTACAAGGAAGCGGCGGATGAAAGTGCAGACCACAAAGGGGCGGACGTGAAGGACGGTAATAAGTGACGACCAGATCGAGAGGCTTGAAGTCTCACTGAGCGGTAACGACGACGACGAAGAGGAAGGACGGCAATACTCAGCGCTAGAGTGTGACTGGAAGGAATAGATCAATTGAAAAATCTAGCGACTTCATCCGGAATCGAACCCGCGTCCTTCCGGCTTGTAGCATGGTGCCTCAACCAACTACGCTACTGCTTGCACCAAACAGTAAGAATTGCGTTACGAAAATTTATAGGCCTACTTCACCGCAGTATTTTTGTTACTTCGTCAGTCAGCTTCAGTGACGGTTAAGATTGTTTTCAGTAGCGAGTATAAAGGCAGACATTTTAAGATAACGGAACAGCATAATTTAAACTACAGAAAAAGGTTTCGCAATAGGTTTAGTTTATCGTGTAGCTAATGTAATGCCATATTGCAGACACAGTGCCATAGTAAATTAGGATGGTGCAGCCATTCCACAGTAAACTAAGCTGTGTGTTTTATTTATTAATTAATTTATGGCTAAAATTCTGCAGTTAATTTCGGATTATATTGCTTCGTCGTGTGGATAGAGAATGATGGGACAGCGAGTGGTATTAATGTTGTTTGAATGTATTGACTCAGTATATCTTTGTCCAAGAATCAGAAACGTAAAGTAGATATTAGTGAAATCATTACCCTAAGAAAATCGCCCAGATCAACACAGGAGAATAAAATAGAGGCGTAAATACCCACTTCACCATGAAGATGTATTAAGGAGTGGATGTTAACCCTAACATTACATACTGGCTTCTTGCTTAGCTTACACTTCGATCCTGAAGATGGAAGTGATATGTTCCTCCGAAACGTCGGTTAATTTTCACCGAGTACAAAGTGTTATATCCCAGAAGATATATGTAATACTTTTGAGTGCAATACCCGGTCAGTTGAAGGGCGGATTGCTGTAAGTGTAGGACAGGGGCTGAGGACGCTGAGGACTGGCCTCTCCCTTCACTAATTGCGCAAGCGCGAAGCCTCGTAGCAGTAGGCACTTCCTCCGGACGTCATGCAACTGCAGAGTGGAGACGAGTCCAGACTTGCAATATGCAAATGGGAGTTCACGTACTTCGTGTGTCGTGACTGGAGTACACGAGCACGTCCAGCACTTTATTCGCTGACGTACCAGCTGTTAACACTTATTTTCATTATATAATTAGAATGGTATAAAGAAGAGCCGGGATAGCTCAGTCGATACAGCGACTGGCTACTGGCTGAACGGCCGAAGAGTCGGAGTTCGAGTCTCGGTGGAGGTAAGATTTCTCTCCTCTTCACGTCGTCTAGTGTGGTTCTGGGGCCCACCCAGCCTCCTATCGAATGGGTACTGGGGATCTTTCCCCACGGGCAAAACGGCCGGGGCGTGAAACTAACCACTCACCTCCAACTAGTGCTGAGGTCAAGAATACATGGGTCTGTACATCCACTCCCCCGTACATCTTCATTGCATGGTGCTTAATTAGTTAAGTACAGGGACAACTTACATTTATGCTATAAAGAAGAGGTCTACTACGGTCTGACCTTAGAGAATTTTCTGGTAGTCCTTGAATTCGGTGCTGCAGTGCTCGGACATGACAGGGGCCGGAACTGGCATAGATAAACACGAGGAGATTATTTTAAAGAGATTTGCTTGTAGTCTAGTTAGGCGGTCATTTGAATTCAGAGGCGGTTACTGGACTGAATTGAAAAGCGTTGCCGATTTTTTTGGCTGATAAAAAAAAAAATCCATCCTGTTTGCTCATTATAAAACCCGCTATTCTGGTGCGCACACCTCACACACCCGAAGTCTCCCATATGTGTCAACCGGCGCGGCGAAATTTGTTGCGTCCTCAAGTCTGTGTTACAATGCAGAATGTAAATTAACTTCGACCTTGGTAAGGATGGATTCATTCAACTTAAAATTATAAGGTCCACTGCATTTGAGGTTTGACATTTTCATGCCGGAGAAGTTCCATACGTGGCCTTCTGGGTTGCAGCACCGTGTAGCTAGGTGGGTACAAAGCTCCATCTTCCTCCAGCACTCAAGTACTCATCTGACATACTACACGGTGCCACAACCTAAGTAATCACAATATGAATATTATTATATGACCATATGCTAGGCAACGGCTCTGTAAGCACGTTCTCGTGTCAACAAATATTCAACAAAGGTTCCCACGGATACAGAATAGCAACAGAAGCGGAAGTCCATTTGCTAGGCAACGGAACTCTAGTTTCCGCTGCAACGAATCAGGAAACCAAAAGGCGAACTGGCCGGCCTCTATTTGGTCCTTCCATAGTTATAAAAGATAGTTCATTCGTGAATTCAAGAGATTCATTCGTAAGAGAATTCAGAAGGCAGTTCAATAGTTGAGTGACAGCTGTGGAGTGTTAACCGGCGGACAACGGAAGCTGAAGAAGTGGCCGACTCGTAAATCAGAACCAGGTCAGTCACTCGTAGTCCAGTAAGGAATGGAGCGAGTCGTAGGCAGTCACTGATTGTGAACTGCCATAACTGATTGTACACGTATTTGCAAAGAAGTGCCAATAAATCCACTCATCAAATCCAGAACCCATTATTATTAGTCACGCCAACCCCGAATACGTGGCAGTATTGACTTCGTTCTTCGATTCGGCAAATTTCATGTGTAAATTTGTTGGTGATTTAATTCCCGCAGCTGTAAAATTTATTTAGACTAGAATGAGAGTCTGTATTGTTACATGGAAGGAATTGATTTGTGAGCGGTCTAACCTATTTCCGTCTCCGCTGGGAGAAACTGAGTAAAGCGACGAAAAATCTCAAGCAGACTGAAAAGATGTAAGATTTGAGGCTTTCACGGCGGTGACTATGAAGACAGCAGTCTTCTGGGATTTGGCACCGTGTATATGTGGTGTTAACCGACGTTTCGGAGGAACGTCTGCTTTTACCGGTTCTCACGGTCTCTTCGCTTGCAGATTTCTTATATGTTTTCTTCTACCCTGAAGATGGAGGCGATACGTTCCTCCGAAACGTCGGTTAACACCACATATACACGGTGCCAAATCCCAGAAGACTGCTGTCTTCTCAGACTGAAAAGAGTTTTCTGTTAAACTCGTAAATTCTAAATTACGTTGTTTATAACTATTTATTTCTACCAATATTTGCTAGGACATTTCATTTTCTGTATGCTCGAATATCCTGACTTGAGGATCCTGCCAAAAGAAAGGAGCGAGAGGAAACAAGGGAACAAGATCATTTCCTCGTTTTACGCTGCCCTTGTTGTGTGACGTTGCCCCGAGCCTCTTCCTCAGCTGCTTTAGACGGGTGTAGCATCCCGCCCTCCTCCCGATCAAGGGAGTGAAATTAATGGCACTTGAGAATAACAGTTTTGCTTGCAGATGAAGTATTAGAAAAATGAAAGACACGAAATAAAACCTCACGAGTAAACGCCATTTTGTAGGTCTAGACGCAGAAGGGAATATTACGGTCGGTACGACTGGCTACGGAGTGGACGACCAAGGGGTCGGAATTCGACTCGCGGAAGGGGCTCCTTCCCGGGGAGGGTGGTAAAGCGGCCTAGGCTCGAAGCTGACCACTCAACTCTTAACTAGTGTCGAGGTCAAGAATACATGGATATATACATCCATTCCCCCATACGCCTTCATGGTATAGTATTTTATTAGTTAAGCACAGGGACAACTTTACCCTTTTTATAACTTTTGACGTAGAAGAGAAATTAATGTTAGAAACGGTTGGACGTGGATACTGGATTTAGCTCTCCCTGGGTTGGCTAGATTTGTTATTGACTAGTTCCATAACTGTTCTGTCGACTGTTCGTTGGAGCTTACAGAACCAAGGAACTTGCACAATATCGGACCAGAACGTGAGATATGGAGCCGCAGCACGTATAGAACTGTGAGATAGCCTCGTCTACATGAATGTTTTACCCACAGGGCCACGAGCTGAGTTCTGGCGGCCGGGTGACCATCACGGCAGAGGACGGAGTGGCGTGCCTTGTCATTGAGAACATCACCGCGGACGACAGCGGGAAGTACGTGGTGAGCGTGGAGAACAACCTGGGGGCAGACTGTCACTTCGCCTCGGTCGCTGTGGAAGGTACGTCTGGACATGCTTTTGAGGCAGGGCCCCAATGCGTTGAGGAAGACATGTAAGAATAACTAACAAATTACATTACGCTTAATGCCGATATATGCTGTCAGTTCGCTTCTGGAAAACACGCAAATAGTATTATATAAGAATGAACGTGAATCAAGATAATATAAGAGGTTAGTACGCTGAGTCATGGCCGAATATTTCGCCATTCTCTACCTGTAAAGGTGCGTCCACATTACTCGTGCTCGTGTGACTCGCTATGCTCGCAAGTAATGTGGACGATATGACAAGTCACGAGACAAGAAAATTTTAAATTTATAATTTAAAAACTACAGCCTACACACACTACGAGTAAATATACGGATCCTCACGCGCTGAAGCCCGGCGAGCAGCTGAAGTAGTGTGGACGAAGATTTACGAACACAAGTAAAAGCCAGACGAGTCTCCCGACGAGGACAAGCCTGGCGAGCACGAGCACGAGTAATGTGGACGCGCCTTAGACTACCGAGGCGGCCTTTTGTCCATTGGCACTGGGGTTTGATCCCACCCATCTCTAGTAATGTTTTTCTCTCATGGGGTGAGGCTGAGTCTACTTGGTACTGCGGCCACTGTTTGGCCTATTGTACCAGCCCCAGGTGGTGATGATTGTGGAACAATTGGTGAAATGTGAAATGTGAAATGCCAGGGGAAACCGAAGTACTCGAAGGAAACCTACCCCAGTGCCACTTTGTCCTCCACAAATCCCACAAAATCTGTCCCGGGCCGCGGCAGTGAGAAGCCAGCGACTGGCCTCGCTAGTAAGCTTAAAATAGAGGTGACAATAGCCTGTTTGTGTGATGACAACGAATCACCTGGAGGCGGATCGAGTTAGGTGGCGTAAGCGGTAACGCTTCTGACATGCTTTCAGAAGGTGCCGGTACACATCTGGGCCGGCATACTAATTACTCTGGTTGATGCTTTCCGTGGTTTTTTATTCAGTCGTTTAGGTCGGTGGGAGAGTAGGCCTACCTCATTAGGCCAGAATCACTGCCAACCTCATCCTTTTCCGTTCGTTATTCACAAATCGTCCTATATACGAATATTGATGTTATATTCTCTTTCCTTTGGCGCTACAGCTCCAATTTTGGGCCTTGGCTACCTCCATTATCGGCTTACTGCGAGTAGATCCAAAGGCATTCGGTAGGACTCGTAGGTCAGGTGATCAGCTCGTCGCAAGGTCTTTACCTGTACATAAACACAGAAAAACGCGCACGCACACACACAAACACTAAATATCCATGACCTTGGTGGGATTCGAACCCACGATCCCGGCTTCCGAGCGAACGAAGGAAGTGCATGCCTTAGACCGCTCTGCTACCGTGACCGGCTCCTGATGTTATATAGTCTAAACTAATAACAGCATCGGTTAATAGGCCATAAACAATATGAACGTAAAGAGGAGAGTTGAGTAAACGCCCGGAAGGCTGTGTACTGCCTTAGGCAGCGGGTAGCGTCCAGCATAATCGTGATATAATGCTTCTTCCTCCGACAAATTTCTGAGTTGACGAATCACTCATGCAGACCTGAGGGAAAGCAGTGCCTAAATACTCTATGTTCCTGAGCATGAAAACCTTGTGCATAGCCGATACAGGACTCGTAAATCAAGTCGAGCCTGCGCTGTATACAGATCAGTTGATAAAATTGTTCACTCTTCCAATGAAGTAATCGGCTGTCGCCCATTTGTCCGTATATACCCGAGAGATGCTTAACGAATTTCCATAAAAATTTGTATTGGCGAGTTTCCCCGAACTCTGTCAAAATTTTACAATTTTGATCAAATCGCACAAAAATACCGGACACTTAACGAAAATCTGCACATGTTTCGATGCCTATTTCGAGTAAAAGTCCATAAATATTTGTCGGAGCAAAAATATTTCGAACAAAAGCTGTAGAGGGTCCTAAAACACACGTTTTATGCCCAGGACAACTTTACCCTAAGTCTTGCTCTTTTCGAGATAATGAAAAATGATTTCGTTACGCTATCTTGTACATGCAGCAGCCAACTGTGGTCTTCCGAACACATGCGAAGATTACCGAAGTCTCTTCTTTTTGTTAATAATTAATCAAATAATCATAACACATTTCCTTTCTGGATTTATACTCAACATGTATATAAAAAGGTAAAGTTGTCCCTGTGCTTAAGTAAGCACTACGCCATGAATGCTTATGGGGAGTGGATATATTGGTCCACATTTTCTTGACCGCGGCACTAGCTGGAAGTGAGTGGTCAGCTTCACGCCCCTGCCACTTTACCCCAAGGGAAAGAACCCTCGATACCAACTGGATAGGATGTTGGGTGGACCCCAGAGCCGGTCTGGACGAAGTGGAGGAGAGAAAATTCTTTCCCTCACCGGGACTCGAACTCCGACCTCTCTGTCGTCCAGCCCGTAGCCAGTCTTTATACCGACTGAGCTATCCAGGCTCTCCAACGTGTACGTACGCTAAAATTTAATTTTAATATTCTGTAGAAAATAGTAAATACTATTTTGAGCTTATATGAATGCTTAAAGCACTTAAGTTTTTCTCACTAAGTACTTAGTCACGGAACTTACGTCCAATTTATAAATTGTGCTGCTTAAATGTACTTCTCCATTCTTATTATTTGTTTAACTGGGACCACAGATTTCTTCATAAAGGCTGCTTTTCATGTAATGTAGGATTAATTGTGTTTACGAATCCAGTCATTTAAACAGCATGAACAAATAAGGTTTGACATTCTCAGATGTGCAGTACACTGTTTCACCACGCTGACACGCAAGTCATTGACTCTACACGTCAGTATTAAATGAGTAATAACTTAGAAACGCATGCCCAAGCTTTTTTTTTTTGTAAACAGCAATGACGTAGTTCCGGAACACGCGGTTTTACTGAAGGTGGATCGGACGGGAAGTGCGTCAGTCAGAGCTAGACAAGCGAACTCAGAGCTTCTGCTCGCGTGAGAATCTCTTCGCCATCCCAAATTTCAAAGAACCATTGTTACAAAGTAAATTAATTTCGTCTGTGCGAAATGAACGCTGCTTGTCAATCTACAGGTAAGAAAGAGTCTGTTAATAAGCTCTTGCTATTGCAACTAAATTACAGTTTCAGTGCATTTTGTTATTGCTAGTGGGGTGGGACTAAGTCCCTGGTACTGCGGCCACTCCTGGCCTATTGTACCAGCCCCAGATGATAGGTGAGGGTGATTGTGGTGCAATTGGTGGAATGAAGACAAGCCGACAAGCGGCGGTTGCTCGATCGGTATAGTTCGCTTGCGGACTGAAGCCACGGAATTTTTTAAAAACTGCGGCAAGTGGGCTGGAAGTGCCCTCGAAAATCCGGTCGTCGGGCATATTAACGCGGCTGTCAGCTGTTATTTTCTTATATGCAATATGGAGGGTGTTCTGTAGGCACAGCAAACAAAGAGAAGCGCACATGGCGACGAAAACGCAAATTTTGGATTTCCAAGTACAACCAGACTGAGGGTGTTTGAGAACAGGGTGTTGAGGAGAATATTTGGACCGAAGAGGGATGAAGTTACAGGAGGTTGGAGAGGGCTGCATAATGAGGAGCTTCATAACTTGTACTCTTCTCCAAGTGTAATTAGAATGATCAAGTCAAGGAGGATGAGATGGGCGGGGCATGTAGCATGAATGGCGGAGAGGAGGAATGCATATAGGATATTGGTGGGAAAGCCAGGAGGAAAGAGACCACAGGGAAGACCAAGGCGTAGGTGCGTGGACAATTTTAAAATGAATCTTAGACAGATAGGATGGGATGGGATGGATTGGATAGATCTGGCTCAGGATATGGACCAGTGGAGGGCTCTTGTGAACACGGTAATGAACCTTCGGGTTCCATAAAATGCTGGGAAGATTTTGAGTAGCTGCACAATTGGCGGCTTCTCAGTAAGGGCCCAGCTCCACGAGTGAGTGAAGTACAACCAGTCTCAACGTTTTGCTTCTTGCGTCCCACCAGTCATTTTGTCAAGAGGCCTATTCCCACCCTTGGAAAATAAACGTTTCTCCACTTCGAAGAGGTCGATTATTACGACTGCGTACTTTTAATATTGTGTTATTAATATAAGCTGTCATTTTCGAGGGTTCTCGTCCGATCCAGCCAACTGTTAAGTCACATCCGTAGAACGCGACCCAGCAGCTGAGAAACACTGCCCTCGAGCGCACATTTGCTACTGATTTTCTTTGATTAGAACCGCAACTGTATATAATGAAACTGAGTGCGGCCACTTCGGACTTCGTTTGAAGTCTATCTCAGCGTCTCAAGGACATGAGTCAGAGTCAAGGATATGCATGTTCGAACTAATTACGCTTATGTGTTCTTGTTTGCGTGTAAAAATGTGCTAAATTGGTGCGAATAGTTTACAGCTTGTAGATGAAATAAAACGTTCGAATGAATAATTCTCTTAGTGAGACGCCTGGAGAGTAAGCGCTTCTACATCGTCCCTTCTGCCCCCCCCCCAAGTGAAAATAATTACTCGTCTCCCATATACATTAATAATGTCTGTTGAATTAAATGTCTGTTTCCTCAGTGCAGTGGGCTTCTTTGCTAGCGCGGAATGAAATGAGAAGCGGACGCTCCTTTCTTCAAGTCGGCCCGACCGACCGGTAACTTCGGCTTTCGGGGTTGAGCCTGGCTGTGTAGGAACCGTTGCACTAAAGTCGTCTGCTTCAGTGTTAAATCACCATACGCACGAGTTCATGGCAGCTCTGTCTAGAAATGTCGCTGAACATGGCTTATCATACAAAGAACCGGCTTATGACATAAACTATCTATCTATGGCTCTACAGCCCATGTGGACCTTGGCCGCTTTATCAGTTTCTTAATCCTATACACAGTTGGTAGGACTCCTTGGACGGAAGATCATCTAGTTGGAAGTCCGCTGCCTAAACACAGAATAAACGCACAGAGACATCCGTGCCTCGAGTGGGATTCGACCTCACGATCCGAGCGTTCGAGCGATCGCAGAC